GTCAAATAATTTAATCAAAATCAAATTAAACCCATGACTATTTCCAGTTTTATCTCCAGGTTGGCCAGTTTTTCCTTTGATTTTTCTTTTCTATTTTTACGGTTCTGAACATCAATATTTTTAATATATAATAATCTCATATCCTCCATATCACCTTCATACACGTCATCTTGTTTTCCTCTAGGTCTTGATCCTCCCACTTTCATCAATCTCTTTACCACGTCATTTACGTTTCACATGCCCAAATCATCTGTCTATTTCTTCACATTACCACTCCAATCATTTCCATACCCAATCTTGCTCGCAATTCCTTGTTAGTTTTTCTCTATCTCAGAGATACCCCACATATCCATCTAATCATCCTCATCTCTGTTCTTTCAATTTGGCATCGTCCCCTGCAACAACAACAGAAAATCTATACTACCAACTGCGTTTAGCATATCACTAAATAAAACTTTTTCATTTTTCCTAGGGTTAACCCATTAATATCCAAACCACCATTTTCTACGTTATCAGTATTATGTACACCTTTTATGCACATTCTAAAAATAAAGGTCATTCTTGCTAACATCAGACTTTCTTTTTTTCCCGCTACATCTTTTATGCACCCATTTCTGGCATCTGGTGCATTGGATTGAATTTTAGCAACACTTTTCCAACATCACAAGGCTCAGATTATCATCATCAATCATCACCTTTGTCTTTACTGAATTCATTTTCAGGCCCTTTGCTTCCATAGCCATTTTCCATTTACTAATTTTATCCCTCAATTCACCTCACTGTTGCCATCAATACAAGGTCACCTGCTTATATCCCAGAGAAGACCTTAACGTATCTCTCTAGCCACCACTACTCATATCAAAAAAATATCCCCCCCCCCCCCCATCCACCCTTTAGACCAAGTTATACCCATCAAGACTAAGAATGAATACTTTCAATCAAAAGATTTTTAAATTAGATTTTATTTGATATCCATATCGATATTTTGTGATGAGGAAAATATTCTTGACCCCTCAAGACCTAGACCTGCCCTCTAATGAATGATTATTATTACAATAAAAAAATATTTTAATTACCTTTTATTTGATACCCATATCAAAAAAATATAATTTTTACACTCCCCTTTCACCCCCCCCCCTCCCAGATCAAGTCATACCCATCAAGACCAAGATTGAAGACCGGGAAGTTTTTAAAATATCGGATCGTATCGGCAAGGCAACAATAATATCGGCCTATAACCGATATTTTTAAAAAAGATGAATAATCAGACTGATCCAATCTGATAATAAATATCGGTACATCCCTAGTTATCAGATTATTTTATTATAGAGAATTTTTGGACCATGTCGTTACTAAAAGTATTATTACCAAGCATTATCGCTAAAAGATATTTTCGCGAATGCATTTTCACCAATATAATACCGCAGAAGCTATCTCGCGAACGCATTGCATTCAATGTATTGCCGTGAATGCATGCTTTTGCGAATATTTAACGTTAATACATTACAAGATTATTTTATTACCGCGAAACAATTATAAATATATACCGCGAAAACAATCTCGCAAATGTATTATCACGAAAGCAATCACTTATGCATTACATTTATAACTATATATACTATCGCCAATAGAACAAGATTGGACTATTTTAATTATTCGTTTGTAATCATCTAGTATATATAATCGCCGTAATTAAGAAATGAACTTTGTATAATCTTAATGAATTTTTATTTTTGGTATCAACTTTCCTTTCCCATCATCCTAATTATTAATTTTTATTTTTGGTATCAACTTTCCTATCATCTTAATGTTAAATAAATCGAAGGAGACTATATACCTCTAATGTTAATTATTTTTTTTATAAAAACGAAAACTTAAAAAATTTTTTTTTTATACATCAACGAGATTCGAACCACTGACTTAACGTTCGTTAGACAAACCTTTCCAGTCAACCCCCTTCTATATTTAAATAAAATTTTTAATACAATTTCTCTTATATATGAAACTATATTATGCTAAAGTAATTTAAATATATCAATATTTATCTTTTTTATTGGAAGCTCCAGGCTTGGGAAAACAATTTCAAAATTAATCGGTTGGCCAGGTTTGAGAAAAAATTTTTTAAAATTATAATGTGTCGGGCTGGGCTTGGAAAATATTTTTATAATTTTTATTGGAAGCTAAAAAAAATTACAAAATTAGTGGCCAGTTTTAAGAAAAATTTTTTAAAATTATAATGGGTCGAGCTGGACTTGGAAATTATTTTTATAAATTATATTGGGATACGCTTGGGGAATATTTTTCAAATTATTATCAGCTTTGACGCTTGGGAATTTTTTTATTATTAACTTTGGATCAGACATTGACTAAAACAAATAAACCAAGGCCCATAAAATCTGATTTTGATTGTATTTTTAAATTCATTATGATTTTTTTAAATATTTTATTCCAGTTCTCAAATACCAAAATTATTGATCTTTGGTTGGGGTTGGGGAAATTTTTCCAAAATTATTATGGCCTTGGACCTTGCTTGGGAATTTTTTCAATATTAAATAATAGGTATAGATGATCAGTAATATTTTAACAAATAATATTGATATGGATATCAAGTAAAAGCTTTAAATATATTTTGTCAAAACATAGCATTTAAACTTAGTTTTAATGGATTGGACCTGACCTGAAGGTGGGAGGGGGTTATAAAGAATAAAAATTGGATATTATTTTCAAATAACAGGTAACAACTATCATAAGAGTAAGGAGAAAATTCTCATTCCCCGTTTTTGACAGACTCAGCAATGCTGACTAATGGGTCTGGTACTCGTAATTATATATTTTTTATTTTGACCTTCAAGAAAAACGGGTCATCATACTTTTCTCCCTTATTCGATGATAGATGAATCAGAAATTAAGAATATCTTATGAGGTGTTATTCACGAATTTACTCTTTTTCGCCTAAATTTTAATATTTTTATAAAATATATTAATTAAGTATATTTAATACCATATACACAAACTAATTACCCCTCAACCCCGTCATTCTTAACAGGTTATTAACTAGTAATTTTATATACAAATTAAAATTGATAAAAGAATTTTGGGTTAATTTTGTTTTTCTGTTCCCTTATATTTATCATAAATAAGATTAATGAAACGAACCTGCATCTTTGTAAATTTCAATTCCATAACCTCAACGGAACATCTAAACCTTTCTAATTTTTTCTTGCTGGAACTAGTGATGCAAAATCACTCCATTTGAGCCGATTTAAAAAATGGCTGACTCAATATTTTAGCCAGAAAAGTATTGCCTAAGCCTCGAGATTTCGCTAATAAATGTCCAAATTTTTGTGCCATCTATGAGCAGAATTTTCAGGGTTGCGTAATATTTTTCTGGCTAAAATACTGAGTTCGCTGTATTTAAAAATCGACTTTAATGGAGCGATTTTGCTAACTGGAGCCTTAGCCGAACTAATGTGTCAAAAGGGTTGACACTTTGGTGTCAGCACCTTTTTGAATCTGAACAATAAATGAAGGGAATCGTTATTTTATTGCTATTCTTTAAGCAAGTAATCCGATGAAAATTATTTTTTAATTTTTTTTTAAAATATAATAAAACGCATGCGTATAAAAAATATTTAAAGTGTGTTAATAAATTTTAAAACACGCAAAAATATTTATATGATTAAAGAATTAAAAAACGATTTCCAATATAAAAATAGCAATACTCTCTTAGGTTTCTTGGCATTGAAACCATGAATAGAGATTAAGTTAGATTTTATTGGGATCTCCAGTTTTTGATGAGATGGTATGTTCTAAAATTTTACAGCCTTAGGGCTAAAATTACCTAAAGTGGTCATGACAAAGGAATAAAATTGAAATTAGTTAAAAAAGAGTATTTTTTGAATTTTCATATTCCGTTTGGATAAAGGAGCCTTTCCGTGAGTGGAATAAGTGTTATGTTATTGGTCTTTTTTCGTCTGTCGAGTTGAGTCCTAGAGGTTCCACGTTGAGATCTGCTTTTGAGAATCTTACCTAATGCATGTCGAATACTCCAACTCTTTATGAATTTGACGCGGAGAGGATGGTAACCATTCAAATTATTGCTGCTTTACGCAAATTACAAATAAACGCAAAGGGGGATTTAAATGCATAATTATAACCATGTGAAGTTCCTCCACATTTAGATGAAGTCGCAAATTCATACTGGGGATGCTTCAAGTCACTCGTCATAACCATGATCCAAGCTGGTAAACTTTTAATAGGTTATCATTCTATCAAAATATAGCGTTGAACGTTATTTTGATTTTCTATATATTTTTATATATTAGATAAGGTCAAATATTATCCATGTATACAAAAAAATTGTTGTTTTCAAGTAACGTCTATAGCTCAGTCACTCGTTGATTGAGGAATCACTTTAACCTTCGACCTGGGAAAGGACCAGATTTCTGCAGCTAAGTTATTTCCTGTTAAGGGGTATAACAAATAGCATATTGAAAGCGAACGCATGAATTAGGGTAAGTAACATATGTTAAAAATGAGTTTTATTACATTTTATACATTTTAATAAAATGTAATCGCTGTTTAATTGCCATATGACCGACACCATATAGTAATTCCCCTGGTAAAAGGAAAAAGAAAATAATTGTTGTAAATTATTTATCATTCCACAAGGAAAAGAAAGCCAGTAAATGAATATATTAAAATTATCGCCATTAAAAAAATTTATCTAAGTAGAATAATGCATTTTTCTAAATAAGTGCTAATACATTTTTCAACAAAGGGGATGCTGTCTGAAAATAACGAATATATATTTTTTTTTAAATTTTACTTTACTATCATTTTTAATTTTTTAAAACTAATTTTAGTGGTAATGGTAACGAAATACTTTGTTATAGAGAGTATTTTGCCCAAATCCTGATCTTTTCATTTTAAAGCCACGGGGCTGGTTATATAGATTGCTTTATTAGCAAATATTTATTTTTTATAATATATTTAAAAAGGGAGTTGGGTGGGATCAAGGAGCATTAAGCACAGCATTATGGAGTGGAATTCTTTTAAAAGATGTATTAATTGACGTTGGAGTTAATATGGTAATTTTGCAATTTGATTTAAATATATATTTTAGATTTTTATCATTAGTAAAAATGAATTTTAAAATATATTGTTGTATAATAAATATTTTAAATTGGTATATTGATTAAATGTTATTTCTTTAAATTATTGATTTTAATACGATTGTAAAGCTTGATGATTCCCTTCATGTAGATTTTGAGGGTATGGATTTTCATTTATCAAAACCAATTGACCGAACTTACTATTCAAATCCAGAAACACTCGATCCTCTATTTAAAACTCTTAATATTTCTTTGGAAGATCAACAGGTGCAAAATTATTTAAACCCCATTATGACATCGCCATTATCAGGATATGGCTCTTCTATTCCAATTCACAAGGCAGCCATTTCGGATGAATGTGTAATGCTTGCATGGATGGTAAAAAAAACTACCCAGATGAACATATTTTTTAATCGCAATAAATACTATATAATTTAAGCGTGGGCATGGCCAAGGTGGACGTAGTGGTTTTGATTCTCGGGCGCCATTTAATCGTTATAGGAAACGCGCTTTTAACTATTAAATGGCACCTGTCGTGAATTACCAATTTTTTTAAAAATATATTCTATTATACAAAAAAAAACCAATTCGATAAATTATTACCCTTGGTTTGGAAATAAAAAAAATGATGGAAAGATGCCTAGGAAATCGCTTTGAAAAAATTATCTATCTGTAAATGGTTTTAAGAGTTGTTTTCGAACTGATAAAACAATGTTTCAAAAATCAGATCTTCTAACTATGTATTATGGGAGACCGGGGCTTTACGGCAGGTGGGGTAAAAAGGCAAACGGCTATAACTTTTTCATCATTGGGACTAATGTTTTAAATTTGTTCAAAAGATGTATTTCTATACATCTTTTGTACTATATATATATATATTATATAATATTATATATATATATAATAATATAGTAAATATAAAATTTATCGATTAAAAATCAATGCCTCTTCAAATTTTATAAAATTTATATGACATATTCCTCATATAGGCTATCGATTAAACTTGATCCGAGTTTCTAGCACATCAAGAAAATTTTATGGAGCCATTTAAGCTAACTTACTATCCTAGGGGCTAAACGGCAGGGAGAGCAAAATTTTATAGGGCAATGATACTACTAAATATTTAAAGTTGGTTTTCTGCCCAGAGAATCTACCCACTAAGCTCTAATATTTTTACCGATTATATTTTTAATGATCTTGATGAAACATGTTGTATTACTATATTCCTGGTAATCACCAAAACGCTTATGTAAATCTCGTGACAGATGAAGAGTCTATATCCAATTCGCTATCTAATTATAATAAGCACTTCTATATTACTGAAGGGGATGGGGTTTGACGCAAAATCTTTAATAAGAGTTGGTAGGAGGCATAGTTTTTCTAAGCTAATTTTGATGGTTTTTATTTTTTTGCTTAAAATATTTAAGAGGAGGGAAAAAATGTTTTTTTTGAGGGGGGTGGGGTAAATTTTTTAGAATGTATTTGTCATTCAGTAAAATGTGTGAATAAGGCGCTTATTGTTCTGAATAGGCATATATCTATTTGTGTCGGGAATTATCTATTTTATGTATATATTTATTGTGAATACTAATTTTTGGTAAATATTCATAATTTAAAATGAAAAAATTTGTGTTTTATGGGTTAAACTTAATATTTGCTATCTTGCCTAAGGTCGTTGATTAATAATAAAAGCATACTTTTAATTACTCCTGAATAGCGCCAACAGTATGATAAGTAGAAAACCCGGTTTTATTTTTATTTTGTAGCTTAATGATGGTGATATATGATATAATATAATTAGTTTTATCCTCTAAAATAAAATTTAAATTTTATCCTAAAAGAACAAAACACCTATCATATAGCCCCGGTCTTACTTTAAAAAACAAAATATTTGAATTTTTTCCATAATCTGCAAAAAAAATATTTTTAAAATTAGATGAATGGTGAGATTTTAAATTTTGACCACGGGTTTCCTATGAGAGTAATAGTTCCTAGCTATATTGGCGCCCGTTCTGTTAAATGGTTGTGGAGAATAACTGTGTCAAAGCATGAATCAGAAAATTTTTACCAGCAAAGAGATTACAAAGTTTTTCCTCCTCACGTAATATTGCAGTTTCAAATTTATACTCATTAAAAACAAATAATTTATTAGGTTGATTGGGATACCGTCGATCCCTTGTGGGATAAGTACCCAGCCATTCAATGTTTAACACCCCAAGCAGCTATATGTTCTATTATAGCTGATTGTAACGATAAAAAAAATGAAATTTATGACGGTTCTTCTGATAATGTTTGTAAAGTGCCATTTAACATGTATGATGTTAAAATCTCAATTCTAATTAGAGGATACGCTCTTACCTGTCATGGGTAAGTGAAATTAGTTTGTCTATGGCTAAAAAAGTCTATTAATCATTTTAAAATAGTATTTTTTTTATGATACATATTCAATTTTAATTTAACTAACGAATTAATGTTGGTATAATAATATTAAAATTTTATATGGGCATCATTCAGTTCGTGTGGCCACTTCAAATATTTATTAATTTTCATGATATCATGCCTCTTTAATCAAATAATTATGACTTATATTTCGAGTTATGTTAATTAGGGTTAAGGCCCAGGTCGATTCGGCTCGTTAAGAATTTTTGCATAGTTGCCTGACCCATTAAATTTTTTGCCCAGCCCATTATAAATTTTTAAAATTTACCCGTGGCGTTAAAACTTTGCGAAAAGTCAAGCCCTGCTCGATAAAATTTTAGGAAAAGTCCTTTTTCTTCAATTATATTTTTAATTTCTATATCTAATTTTTTCTTAATGTCAATTAAAGCTCTTAAATATCTCCTCTATGACTATCTATTTCTTTCTGCAACAACCGCTTTATAATTCAATTATATTTGATATCTATATTGTGTATTTGTAATTGAATCATCTCATAAATAACTTGTTTAATTTTTGTAGATTTATTATTAGACAGCTCTTTATTTTTAAATAGTATAAATCAAAATATTAATTTGAAACAGAAATATACATCAAAATTTTAAATTTCGGGGTGGCCTATTAAATTTTAAGAAAAATTACCATCTTCAAGACCTTACCTTATTTTTTATATATAAATTGTCTGAAATGGCCCAGCCCGAAAATTATTAAAATACGGATTGCCCGGCCTGCTATAATTTTTTTTAAATTCCATGCTCGGTCTTGCCCACGGGCCGCGTTGCAGTTCTCTAATATCATTTCAAAAAATTAATGTTTTGTCTACGTGAAACTTGGATGAGATCAACTTGGTATTAGCACTCACCCATCCTTCAGAAAGCTTTGGATCTCCTAGTGCCTCACTCCGTTGATGATCTCTTATTGAGTGATTTATTAGAACAATATCCTAGTCAAACTATTCTGAATTATAAATGCTCCGAATGCCGGTCGGCTGTCCCAAGCAAAAAATTTCGACATTTCTCTTATTAATGAAGAACTTCATATTCTTATTTCACCTCGTCTTGGCGCGATATATTGCTTTCTTCCAAATATATTTATTGTTCTTTATCATCTGATTACATAGGATACCATTCTTTACATTGCAGATATTTTTAGGGCCGCCTCCCACGGTATATAAACATAAATAACTTAATCTCAAAAGCTCTTTAAAGGGCCAGTACTTCAAATACCCTAGAGCCCAATCAATGCTCAAGCAACAACAGAAGACCCATTCGTTGGTAGCAGCATAATACCCTGGTCTTCCTATTGCTTGAAATTACACATACATCCATTTTTCGGCACGATACAACAGAAATGCCTCAAAAATTAGTTTGGCAGAAATCAAATAAATAAATATTGAGATCGCTAACGTAATTTTTATCTTACTTGTCACCAAACTCTTGGTGTTTTTGGTGAGGAATTCCTTAAATTTATCACATTATTAGGAGGAAAATTTAGCCAAATAAGTGGTGATCGTATTGAAGCTTTCTATTTCAAACAAACCATTACATGACTATTCATCAAAGTAGTTATATTGCTATTCATAGTTCCATATAGCAATGCAAGTAAGCCGAATCTTAATTGTTTTTTATTCAGTTGTTTTTTTTTGAAATTTTTTTTATATATATGCGCTATATTTATATAATCGTTAATTGTTTTTTACAAATACAAGTATTTATCATGACTTAAACATGATCTCAAGATGTTTCTGAGAATGCTTTCAGCAAGTCTCCCGTGATGGATGGCATTCTACCCTGTACTGATATCTTGATATATCACTTTTAATAATAATTTAATCAATCAATTAAAAAGTGTTTAAATTAATACCTATATTTTATTACCAATAGAAATACCAATACAATATTCGTATTTGTTGGTTTTTAAATATTGGTTTGGTTACCAGCCCTTAGCAATAGCTTAACTCTTAAAGGCCATGTGCCTTTTCTTAATATTTAAGGTAAAATCGCCATTATGTAAGAATGTATCAATTAAAAATTCAAGTAGAGGACACTAAGATTTCGTTGACCTAATCCTATCTCGATAATTTTGGTTCATGTGACAATTTGGTTAAGTCAATTGGATTTTATCCAAAAAATATTATACTCAAACTTTTTTGCAAAAATATGACCATACCATTTTTTCTTCCATACATAGTGATAATTAAACAAGATTTGCCTAGCCAAGTTTATCAACTCTTTTTGATGCAAAATTAATTGCACTATTAACTAAGTCTGATGGTGAGGTTCGACCGATTTCAATAGGGTCTTTTTACGAGACTAATAGCTAAGATAATCGTTGAGCGCATCAAACCTGATACTTCAGGAATGTTCCAAACTTATCAACTAGGCTTTGATGCTAAAGGAGGATGCCAAATAACCCACCCTCTCTCTGCTTATATGTCTCGAAGATCCTCTTCTAGATGCCATAGTCTGTAGCTGGACTTTAATAATGTTTTTAATTTTTTATCTAGAAAAGTAATTAAACATTTTTTATTAAAAATTTTCAGTATATGCATAATTTGAACAATCATATGGCTGTACAATTCCTCTCAAATTTGGAGATACAATTCCTTCTAATACCCTTTTATTTAGCTTGGGCATGCATACCCGAATTCATTCTTTAAAAACTCTTTTTAACTTATATAAATATATAGTATCTGGATGATGGTACCATCTGCGGATCATTTATAAATATTTCAGCAGCGATAGATTATATAGAGTTAAATTTTCTATAAATTGGCCGTACTCTAAATATAGCTAAATCTGAAATATGTTTTTTAAATTCAAATGCTCTCGGGGTTTAAAATTATTAAAGAAAGTGAAATTAATCTTCTTGGTTAGCCTTTAAGCAGTTTTTCCAAATATGAGGTGTTGATGGGAAAATTTTTTAAAGTCTTGTTGGGACTGGAAAATATTTTAAAAGAAATAGTTTCATACCAAAGTTTTCTTAAAAGATTTTACCAAAAATTTAACATATTTTTAGATCATTATTTATTTTAAATATTAAATTGGAAAATGTTAACTCGGGTTGTTCTCAATAACCATTGAAAATGGGAGGCTTCGATTTATATCTATTAAATCTTGTAAGGTGCATCAAAATGATGTAGGAGTATAACTTATGCATCACGGTTGAAAAACGCAATAATATCTTTTTTTTATCACCCTTAAAGATAACCTTTTAAATTCGACCTGACTGTTTGGATATCTTTAGCTTTATCTGAAGCTGTTTTACCCACCGTTTTAACACATCAATCAACCTTTAGTTAAATTTTTTTTAAAAATAATCTCATATATTTAACTATTACAAATTGCTGATTGTACGTAGTGGTTATGAATAGTTGGAAGCATTATCAAGTCTTAACCTAGGTAACCTCTTATCAGATGAACAATGAGGGATTGTTTTAATCCTCCAATTAAATGTCACATTGTCATCCACATATATGCATAAAATAAAATATCGGTTGATTCCAAAGGGAGATATGGTTTTAATTCTTAGTCAAGACTCACATGCAAGGCATGCAGCGATTAATTCAGTTATTAACCATTCCCTTACGAGAGCCTGAATACCAAATATCCTGAAGCCTACGAATTCATTATCAGATGATGGCCTAAGGCTAGATAGTTTAACTTCCGTACTTTGGTTAAATCCTTAATTTGGGACTTCACATGCGTCTCTTCATTTCCAAAAAATGTTAATTCTACTGGTTGATATAGCTGAGAAAAAAAATATACAAATTAACAAATTATGTTTTTTTTACCAATCGTTATTTTATAAGTCTTAACTTAATCTCAACTTATATCTATTTAATTTATATGTCTCAATTTAATATCTATTTAATTAAATAATTTCTTATACTCCAATTTTTTTATATTATAAAGTCCAATAATATATATAAATATATAGGTTTTTATTCCAAATCCAATAGAAAATATAGTTTTTTACAAATTTCATAATATATAAAAAAGTTATCATTTATATTTTTACAATAATAATATTTAAGAAAAATAATATATTTTTTTTACCGCCCAGTCAACAATAATTGACTTATTTATATATTTACAAAAAAAAATATTATAACTTTGAGAAACTACACAAAAACTAGGACATGCCACCCCTTTATTGGCACTTGTTCCCTATCAAAATTTATTATAAAAATATATTATGTCTATATATATATATAAATATTAGTATTGTTTTACATTTTAAAAATTGTAACTAGTAACTGTAACTGGTTATATTTTTGAAATGAATATATGTATAAATCTAAATAATATATTCCAGTAATTAAATTTATTTTTAATATGTTTAGAATAATATAATTATTTATTAAAATTATATTACTATATCTATATACTATGTAAAAATATATAATTAAAAGAAGAGAAATAAAATAAAATAATGTATTTAGGTTTGGTCGGCGGGGCTTAATGACCCATATATAGATATACATATAAATCGACAAATTTTGATAGATATTCTTTGTCGTAGGTAGAATAGACCTGTGCGCCGCCATCATATTTTATTTCCACAAACAATTCATATTAATTATTTTTATGGACTTGCACGTTCACAAATATTACCAGCACCTTGAGGGCAAAAAATATGGAATATATTGTGCTAAATAGGTTAAGAAATATAATATTAAAAAATAGGTTTATTAATTAATATTGGTTAAAAATTATGAAACCCAGGAATGTAACAATTTAAGAAAAGGAAATATTTGGACGGGAAATTATATTATTGTTGCATAGCCTTCGTGAAGACAATCAGACATTTAAACAAAATTTTAAATTAATAAATTTAAAAAAAATTTATTTTAAAATTAATTTATCACACCCTTTGGACTGCCCACCTAGACCTGTGCCCGGCGGTATTTTTATTCACGCCGGAAAAGC